GAGAGGGGGAGGCTTTCTGGAGGTGCCGGGACATCAATTAACAGTTCCCCTCCAATGACACCATACATGACATTTCTACATACAGTAACTTACCCACAAACAAGCACCTCAAACATCACAGTCTTGTTTAAAATTACTGCTTCTAGATTTTAGAAGATATTTCAGCATCCAAACTCATTTAAGTGATTAATGGTGAAAATAAAGTAGCCAGAGCTGCTTTACTGCATTACAGTGCTTTACAGTTCATTTGTATCTAATCATTTTAAGAAATATCTTTACAGAATAATAAGTTATTGTTATTATTATTATTAATACATTGAACAGATTTTCTTTTCATAAGTAATTCAGTTGTAATTAACAAGTGGTGGAAATAATGGTGCTGTAACTGTAAATTCTGCACAACTTAGATGTTACTGTAAACTTTAAACCCTAGGTTTAAATGTTTTAAATGCAATTTTTATCCTTCCCATATATCCTGAGAATATATTTTAGCAACCAAAGCAATTTATTTCAGCAATTTCATGCAAATGGAAATAAGAACATCATCCATAGGCCAAATCTTTTTTTTCTTCACAATAATTCTGTCATTTTTTTCTTGACAGAATTGTTTTATTATTTTTTTTTGTGTATAATAATAGATGTATTATTTCAAGAATAATTTATTAATAATGATAGATTAAATCCTATTTTTACAGCTTTAATATATTTTTTTTGTACAAGGAATTAAATCGTAATTAAAGAGTTTAAAAACTGCACAACATTTCAAGTTGTAACTTCTGCAAAACTTGGATTTTACTTAAAATTTAAAACTGTAGTTTAAAAAAAAAAAATAAAATGTTGATTTGAAAAAAAAAGATTTTTTTTATCCTACACCCCAGGCCACTGCATTACTCATTCCTGGTTCAAGTCCAACATGTTTAAGGAGCCGATGCAAAGCCCAATTTTCCAGCCCAGAACCATCTTTTCTTGTCTTCTTTTGAACCTTGCAGAATTCTGCCAAAAGCGGGCACTAACTTCAGTACCATTGCCCCGACGGTAGACAAGGGCTGTATGTCTCACAGTCTGCAGTTCATATGCACATTTTCACCGCATATACCCAGAAGAAAACAATATGCTCTTACCCATATTGCTTTAGCGCTAGTGTTTGTTAGTCCAGTATCAACGTTAGCGGCAGCGTTGGGCAGGCAGGCCAGTAGTGGAAGGGGATCGGGTGTAAGTTTGAGAAATCTCCATATGTCCACATGGCAATAAAATGTCTGCCACTTTACTTATTGAGATTGTAATGAATGCCAGGTGCGTAGTCTGTTTTTTTCAAGGCACTCCATTGACATGCAACTAAAAGAATGGTTAAAGAAATCTCGCTGTTAGACCAAAAACAGACTTTTCAGCTATTATAAAATACGCAGAATGCTTATTACCATTCATAGGGACAATAAAACAGAAAAAAAAAGTTCTAAATTAAATCTAGAATTCAAATAACATTTAAACTTTCAAAACAGTTCACATATAGCAACAAATAACCAAGCAATAAAAGTTTTGCAAAACAACACAGAACCTAAAGGCAATGAGCCAATCAGTCTATTAACTTGAATTTTCCATTCATGCAAAATAGACCCCAGAGTTTTAGCTCGACCTCATATTTATGGCTTCACACACATACTTTTTTACTTTAACAAACATTCATATTAGAAGACTTCCTCAGTGTGCGGTTAATCCCTGTTCTCGTGACCCAACCCTCTTTCAGATCGCACATATGATTTCATTAAAACACAAGACTGCCTACACAATAAATCAAACCTCACTTGTGTCTTTATACAAAAGCAGCTTTATAAATATTACATATATGACAGAAATGTGGAATTACAATTGATACGCTCTTGATTACACTTTGACTCACTTTTTTGTGCTTTTGTCGCAGTATTTAACTGAAATGTATGACGTCAGTATAACTTTGAAGACAAAACGATAATGGATATGGATGCAGCTATATAAACACAACACTGCGCCAAACTCCTGAAGCACTTGGCCTCTCAAGTGAGATATCTCATAAAATATCTACATGTGATCTGAAATACTTTTGCTTTTATTGGCAATCAGCATTTAGCTAAAACTAAATTGAACATTTGGTGTGAATCAAGGCTCTTTACTGGGTCCTTTTATATTTAGCCTTTATATATACCTCAAAACAATATTATCTTCTAATATTCTCATGAGAAATACACATTACACTGTAGTTACACTTAAACATGCTGCTACAGATTTCTAGATAATTTTCTATTTTAGCCATACACTTTTTATGTTTCAATGCATCAAGAGTATTAATCATAAATGTCACAAAATATTTAGCTAAACAGGGGAGACCAAAAACAGACTTTTCAGCTATTATAAAATACGCAGAATGCTTATTACCATTCATAGGGACAATAAAACAGAAAAAAAAAGTTCTAAATTAAATCTAGAATTCAAATAACATTTAAACTTTCAAAACAGTTCACATATAGCAACAAATAACCAAGCAATAAAAGTTTTGCAAAACAACACAGAACCTAAAGGCAATGAGCCAATCAGTCTATTAACTTGAATTTTCCATTCATGCAAAATAGACCCCAGAGTTTTAGCTCGACCTCATATTTATGGCTTCACACACATACTTTTTTACTTTAACAAACATTCATATTAGAAGACTTCCTCAGTGTGCGGTTAATCCCTGTTCTCGTGACCCAACCCTCTTTCAGATCGCACATATGATTTCATTAAAACACAAGACTGCCTACACAATAAATCAAACCTCACTTGTGTCTTTATACAAAAGCAGCTTTATAAATATTACATATATGACAGAAATGTGGAATTACAATTGATACGCTCTTGATTACACTTTGACTCACTTTTTTGTGCTTTTGTCGCAGTATTTAACTGAAATGTATGACGTCAGTATAACTTTGAAGACAAAACGATAATGGATATGGATGCAGCTATATAAACACAACACTGCGCCAAACTCCTGAAGCACTTGGCCTCTCAAGTGAGATATCTCATAAAATATCTACATGTGATCTGAAATACTTTTGCTTTTATTGGCAATCAGCATTTAGCTAAAACTAAATTGAACATTTGGTGTGAATCAAGGCTCTTTACTGGGTCCTTTTATATTTAGCCTTTATATATACCTCAAAACAATATTATCTTCTAATATTCTCATGAGAAATACACATTACACTGTAGTTACACTTAAACATGCTGCTACAGATTTCTAGATAATTTTCTATTTTAGCCATACACTTTTTATGTTTCAATGCATCAAGAGTATTAATCATAAATGTCACAAAATATTTAGCTAAACAGGGGAATAAAAGAAGTCCAGAAAGAGAAATTGAAACACCTTACCACACTCATTTAAAAAACAGCAATGTATTGTGAGAATTACATCAGAAAAGCTTTTTATTATTTTACATAGTGCATTGTCTGAGTTCCTCTCACGAACACACAGATATCGATACATGCCTTCATTACTAGCAGACTGAATGGCAGTGCTCCCCCGTACAGTTTTCTAATAAAAGACTAGACCACGAATTATAGGAACTGCTACAGGACAAATAACAGAACAAGATCATTCATTATCATTTCAGCATTACTCCATTGACTTAAGAGAAAGGATATAATCCCTCAATTCACTTTCAGCCTATATAAATGTATACACCTTCAATAATCTGCATGTACAAATCTGCATGTACAAAACTAAATATGTCTCCTTTATTGTGTCCTTTTTGTTTAACATATTTTGTTCACGCAAAACATTTTTTTCTGAAAGTTGGAAAAAATGTTTTCTTGTATTGTACACATACAAGCAGCTACTCTAAGTACAACTTAAATTTATGAAATTGAGGCATGTGATTCAAAGTTGGTTGCTAAACTAACATTGAAGATAAATAAATAACATCCAAAAAAAAAATCAAGGGATGAAAAATAAATTTATAGTAATTTTAAGTATGAATTAACCTATTCAAAATGTATCAAATGCAATGCCAATGAACGTAAACCCACAGTAACAAAGAAATTAAATAAACATTCAGCAGTAGTAGCAGAAGTAATAATAATAATAATAATAATAATCATTTCAAATGTTACCACTGCATTTTACAATAAAAAACAATGCAATAGGGTAACAATACTTTTAAGAAAGAGCCCATTTACTTTGGATACAGTTTATCTGTTTAAAAGAGGCCTCAAAATTGTTATCTACTACTTTTACCAGAAGTTAGAAAAGGCAGAGAGAAAAGGCGGTGGGATTTGAGTGTGTGAAAAAGAGCTGAAAATAATTTTGATGAGCAGGACCGCTTTCAAAAGTACAGCATATAACCACTTCATCTAAAACACATTTTAACAGTACTTTTAGTGTCATATCATCAATCATAACACGCCGAGAAAAAAAAAAAAAAAAAGATCAGACAGGTCAACGTGGCACAATCTGAAGCGTTTCGTCAAACCTGAATTTAACCTTAACCTTAAAGTCCGTAATTCAAATTCAGGAACTGTAGCCTACTGTTACTAATAATAAAAAGATCACAGTGATTATTTACTGTAATATAGTTATGCATGAAAGTATTAAGCAATACAAATGAGCAAGTTTTACTTATACTGTGCAAAAGCCTACTTTGTGATAAATCTCGCAATAAAGCTTAGCTACGTATTTTTTTACTGTGGTAAAAGTGCAACTCTAATAATTATTACGCGTGTGCACATTGTAACATAAAATGTTTCCAAAAACAGCATATACATTTAGGTTTGTTCGTTTCCATGAGAGTTTGAAGACATGCAAGCACTCAAACCCGCAGAGCGGCGCTCGCACCCTGCCAACTGCGCCAGGTCGTCGGGGGGCGTGGCCAGCAGAATGACTGACAGCTGATTCTGAGCGAAAACTCCTCCCAACACCGCCTTTCTCTCTCCCTCTTTCACTCTTTCTTTGATTTCAGACCAGCCGATCTTCATTCCAGCGCACATGGAAAGGCAGAGAAGCAGGAACGGTCAGCGCTCGGAAGGTGAAACGCGCTCAGGGATTTTACGCGTAAAGCCGCTATAAGGTGATTTTTTTTTACGGGCCGCTCTTTATTATTGGACTACAACAGAATGCTATCTGAGGAGGAATGGACATTTAAACAACTGTTCTCCGTGTAGGGATTTCACTGTGCAACATCTATAAACGGACACACATGCTCACCACTGATGAAAAATAAGCTGGCAGGAGTGTCGGGTGGATGAGTTTTAAAGCTCTTTCAGCGCCGCTTTAGATATTTTTTGTTTTTGCACATTGGATTACATAAACACGGCTGCAATTGCGGTTTATGGAAACAGCTGAGAAGAAGACAACTGAAGTTGGAGAAGAGGGTCTCTGAAGCTGGACTGAGGGTCTGAAGGATTGTACATCTCCTCGCGGAACTCCACTTTCATGTCCGAAGTCTCTGGTTTATGACAATGGATTATTTGCTGTTTTTATGCGGCTGTTTGCTGCCTCTGTCCTCGGCTGTTGAAGGTAAGATTGCCAATTTGTTTTCTTGTTTTTTTCTCTCGCAATGCTTATCAACCCAACCTAGAGTCTGGGAGGCAAGTCGCGGGTCGATACTATTGATGCGCGTCTACAGGAGTTGCGCTTCGGACTCCGTAAATAATAACCGGGATTTAAGGTTTTCGTTTTATGCATTTTAATTAATGCAGTAAAACGCGCCCGGTCCGATGCTTTCTTGGGGAATTGATCTGGCCATTGAATGACACCAATACACATGCGATTACACGGCAGAACTTCTCCCTCCTAATTGTTGTTTATTTTCTTTCACCAAGACAATAGTTTCTGTCTTTCGTAAAGGAAATGTCGCTACAGGGAGCCCCACTTCAACAGTCTCTCTGTCAGACAAGACGCAAATCCAGGTCTCCTCAAAAGACGCATGGTGCATTTTGAGCTTTTTATTTTTCTGAACAAATACAACGACGTTTGGGCAACCCATAAATTGACCAAAATTGACATTTTATTAGCGCGTTTATATCGGAGGTTGCTCTTATGCTGTGCATCAATTATGGCCCTTTTGGCGTACGTGTTCCTTTTAATCACAATTATGATTCGTTTATTTCATAGTGACTCAGATCGGTAGTTTAGCTCGGTTTTGATTCAAATGATTCTTCGAAGTCTGGACCCCCATTAGACTGGGGGACCTTTTGACACCAATAAAGATGAAAATGAGTGGGCGCTTAATAGATTTTCACGGAGAACAACAATGTCGATGTATTCATTTCTTTATTGGTATTTTTAACCATACAATTGGCGACAAGCATGAAATCGTGAACACTTGCTTATTGTACTGCTGCTCAGACTTGCCTATTGTGAGTCTACTAGTGAAATTCTTTAAAACAGCATTTATTATTTAATAAAACTCGTATGTTGACACTATTAATGTCGATATTGTCAGATATAATTAGCCACAGTTAATCTTTTTTGTTTTGTTTTTTAAGATGAAAAGGCTTGCCTTGCATTTTACTGCTCCGTGTTGGATTAGTACTATATTACTAACTAAATGAGAGGATATATCGGTTCCCTTGTTTATTTTATTTGTATTTGAATGTTTTAATGAGTGAAGTGGACGGATGTTGAATGCGGGAAGTTGTTTGGAGTTCATACGGGTTGTTTAGTTAAATGCATTTATTATTTCCCCCCGCCGACTTTTTCCCACCGTGGTGTATATTTCTATATTAGCTTTGTAAAAGTTATTTAAATAAACTTCGCTACGTGATTTATAATTTTGTCCGATAACATCAGAACAAAATGAGTGAATGTTTATGTGAAAGGCACACGGGCCTCGATTACTAGCCTGATATATTGCTCTACTCGTTTAGCTCGAAAATCAAGCAGAATATTAACTGCCGTTAATTGTTGTCAAGTATCATAATTATATTGTTTAATGAAAAGCATAATTTAACAAGTTGTACGTGATAACAATATATAACTTAATCAGCGATTCACTCAATGTATTGTTTAGGGTTGACGATACGACTCATCCTATGTGTCCGTTTGTACTAATAGATTGTACGAGTGTGTACGAATTTAATTTAGGCTGACAATATGCATGCCATATTCTTGGTCCCTGGAGATTTTCCCTCCGCAAGAGCCCACTGATTTATATATATATATAAGACGATCAAAGCTGTCCAACATGCTTTAAAATGTGATTTTTAATTAATTTCTTATTTCTCCTGTAGCCTATCTATAGAATTAGTTACGCGTTACTCCCTGTTTGAATCTGAACGTTTTAGTAGGCTATCCAAGTCTCTCTTGTCCAATTAGTCAAAGGCCTGGTTTTAATTCCCACTACCCTACTGTACTTATTATTTAGCACATGGTGCGTGATAAACTTATTGTGTCCTGTATACTAATTTAAGGCATATATCTCATCGGAGATGTGGTAAAACATGGGCTTCGCGGTATTACGCGAGAAAGATGTAGAGCATTTGACCTCAAATCAACGTGCAAAAATACTGACTTTACTCTTGTTTATCGTTTCCCCCACATACTCTGTATTTACAGTATTTTAGTCGTTCAAGGCAAGCGTCCTGCGCCTGTATGAACATTTTCTGCTTTTTCGGAGCGTATCTGCCCTCTTCATGTCCCATTGAAGTGGTAATTCAAAGGTAAACGCAGTTAACGCAGACAGAGCCCTTACTGACGAAATAACAGACTCATTTTGGGGGTAAACAGCATTAACATGAGAAACAAGAGAATCATTACAGGGCACATTCAGTGCAGAAGAGCTGTAACGTGAGCTTGAAGAAGGCCCGAACGCGAAGCCTAAGCAACACATGTATTTGTATTTTTGGAAAAAGATTCAATTCACTCTCACGTGTGAGGTAATGGGAAGCTGACGTGTTATAGGCCAGGATGTGTCCATTTTATTTAAACCATTTTTGCATTGACTGAGAATGTTTGCACTTTTCAGAACCATTTATCAAAGCGCAGGACAGGCCCGTTTAAAATGGAACTGCTGATGGCAAACAATAAATGATGAAAGACGTAAAAGAAGTAGTGACAGTCACATCGCATGCATTGTAGCCTACTTTACATTTAAAACCCATATACAATTTAGACTAAAATCTTGTTTTTGATGTTTTTGACAAGTTACGCGTCAACGACAGTTATTTATAGACTATGTACCGCTATTAGCTATTTTTTTTCGCTGCTACTATTTGAATAGCCTGTAAATAGTATAACAACGTAATAATAATAACACATATTATTATTAATAGCAGTATTAGTAGTACTAGTATTATGACCGCTGTTGAGCGCAACACCCGAATTCTGCAAATCGATGCGACTTCATCGATCTGTAAAATCTGCGATCAAGAGGTTTAAAAAGAGGTCAAAGCATTGATCTGTTCTTCACACCATACACACGGCCTACACTCCTCTGAGAGGCTCTTTTCTCAACTTATTCAATTACTGACGAGCCGTTTTAAACTAAACATGAGCACAGTTCGGTCTAGTAAAGTAAACGAACAAAGTAATACGTATTTTTTGTTTGCTAAACTGTGTTCACCTCTAGTATAGCCTAAATAAAAATGCGAATTGTAAAGTTTTGAGTTTGTATAATATGTATTCATATATTGCATCTATCACTTGATCTAAAATATGTCAAATCAAATATGTCTATACATTTTTTTACCTCACCTATCTACTGTATCCATAAATGTAACCAAATAGTCAAAATTGGAGAGGCCCAAATTTAAAAGTTTAAGAAAACCCCATTCTGATTATTGGGTGGGACGTGTTTCCCTGTTTCTGATGGTGGGCCTGCATTTAATGTATGCACCACAGAACTTAAGTGTGCGGCCTTGTATTATTTCCCTTTGTGTAGTATATTTAATTGCTTATTCATTTATTTTCATAGATGTTCTATTTATGAAATAATTAATTTTGTTTTTATATATTAGTCTTGAGCGAGAGCCATTGAAAGGTCATATGTTAAACAGAGGATAGGGTGAACAGATGCCCGCTGGCTTTGTTTCAGACTCTCATAAGGAGCTCAAAGGGGTCTCAGACTCAAGCTTAAAGATGCTATGAAAACCAGGCAGAATCACGAGTGGCTTACTGTGGTGGTCCGCGTAAGCTCACACCGCTAGCCTATAAATATTAGCTCTGATAACCTTCTGAATGCAGGAATGCTTTGGCTGTAAAATCTGACGGCTTTCTGAGCCCAGCGTGGAACAATAGTGTGCGCTGAAGGCCAATATTTAACCAAGTGCTCTGTTAATTGATGAAGAAGTGGACTGGACGCTGACTGGAATGTAGAATTCACTCCTTTTGGAGTGTCCACTCAAAAGGGCCATCCTGGCAGCTGACGCAAAGGCCTTTAGAGAAAAATAGGTCTTTGACACTCACGACAGTGTGAGGAGAGAATGTGTCTGGGCCCGAACACTGCCAAAATCCCCCCGGTGCTGTCTGCAGCTACTGAAGCGGAATGAGAGAGAGGAATCGAGAGCAAAAGAGAGGCCGAAAGAAAGAGGGATTGAGAGACAAAGAGACATTGGAGCTTGGTTTCTGTCTTCGGTTGGTCAGGAGCGAGATGGGTGGCGCTGGCAGGGAATAGATCTGCTACCAAAACGCCCATTGAAAAGGGGGGCAGCAGCGCAGAATACCCAAACAAAGTCACATGATGACAGGCACAATAAATGTTTCTTTCCATCTGAATAGTTTTCCCTCTCCAACTCAGCCCCAGGGATTTTTAAAAGTTTTAAAATGTTGGAGTCGGACTGCTTGCGTGCATTGGTTCAGTGAATTTACAGTCAGAGCCAATTTGATTAGAAAAAAAAAAAAACATATTTTTTTCCCTGCCCAGAAACTACTTTTTTAATGCTTTTGAAATTTGTCACATCCATACATCGTCTATGACTGTTATAAGATGTGTTTTATGGACACTTGAGGATCGTACCTCTGTAAACTCTAAAACTAGCAGCATTTTGTGACATGGTGGCTGTGTAAAATAATTTGCTTCAGTTTCAAACCACCAGATAAAAGCAGCTCCATCTTTCTGTATGCTTGTAGTATACAAAGCATCTAGAAGTAGCACACAGTGTGAGCTCTGAGCATGCAGATGATGACATATGATCGGACACACACATGTAGTCTGCTATACTACTGAGTAATGACTTACGCATTTTTACAAGAATGCCATAGCCATTACTCTATAGTGAAGCCGTTCGGCAAGTAGGAGTTTGGAAAAGCTTCCAGACTCTTTGCTGCAGTGTGTTTGATCCTTTGCTGGACAATGTTTATGGGCTTTAAACCAGTTCGGCCTGCTCTGCTTATAAAGTAGAAGAGATCTTTGATAATACTGAAAGAAATGCAGCTTTTAAACCCTAAAACAAACCAAAAGTTTGTATTAAGTGATAGTGAACTGAAACTGTTAGAGAGATACTTGGCTAGTTCTCAACCCCAGTTCAACTGGGGGAATGTGTGATGTTAGAAGCCCTGCAGGAAATGGCTAATGCTAA